GCCTGTCATGTCACACACTTGTTTCTTCCGCTCACGCGCTTTGATTGGCTACGACCAACATGAACTCATGAAAAATATTAAATGATAGAGACGTTTCCCAGCTGTGTTCTCTGCTATCAGTCAGCAAATATGGGCCATGCCACCTCATGGCACATCTCTCCCACTCAAGGTGCAAAAAAACGACGTTTTTGTTTTTCAAAATTTGACCGTAATACCGTATCGTACAACACGGTCGGAGGAAGAAAAAAAAAACGTTTTTTTTATTTATTTATTTTATTTCTGGTACAAAAACAAGGGGATTGATTGGTGAGTAGAACAAGGGGGTCGTTAGAAGTGCTGATGGCACCAGAAGATTGTTAGAAGTTATTTTGTGCTCAGAACAGCATTTTTTTAAGTTGAAGAGTTTTTTTTGTCCAATAAAAAAACACCGTTTTTTTTCCAAAAGGTACCGTAAAGAAACATCGAAAAAAAAAAAAAACAATCGTATTTTTCGACAATCGTTTTTTTCTACCTTGCTCCCACTGACAAACTGAGGACATGTTGCTTCACTGAAATGGCCTCATTGTGTGTGAGCTCACATGTTTCACTTCACGATCATGCCAAAGCAACCGTGCCCACGTGGTAGATCTGTGAAAGCCGCCCGCCTCCTTATTAAAAGCTGCCCATTAAGCGTTTCGAACCTGGTTAGTAGGCTACCCCTAATTTTTCCACCCTGTGTCTCCACCACCACATGGGCATCAGGTCTCTTGCATCGAACAAGCTGTATGGCGGCATTCCTGATAGCTTCTCCCAGCTCACACAACTCAACTATCTGTAAGCCACCACACCACCGTTTGCACCATAAACCTCGTCATTTGGTATTCAAAAAGAGTATATTTGTACAATATGGTGGAATTAAGGGAATATTCAGCTGCATTATTGGTAGGGTTGAATACGAACGTGTTTGGGTAAAAATCTCAAACACGAGCGGGTAGCGTTGAGAAAAACTCGAACCCAAACATGTGAACGCTTTTAAAGTGGGTGTTTGAGTGTCCGCCTTTGTAGGCAAACGCTTACGTGCTTGCCCGGAATACAATTGTGGTCAAGGCGAACATGATTGTGTTCAAGGTTGTTGGTAGTGTCTTGCAATGTATACGAGTACCATACTGACGCTATGGTTCTGGGGTGTTGTGGAGATACGAAAGCACAGTGGTAACAGCTGTTTGCAACATATACAGAGATGCTATGGTCCGTTTACAGAATTAGCATAATTGTGTTCATTTCAAGTAATTCAAACATCATGTTCATGTTCGGCAAGGCTTGGCGCTGACAACAGAACTGAACCGAAAACGTTTGACCATGTATTTGTCCTGAACTCTTTTAGCAAAAAAGGAAACACCTGTCTGGTTTGACTCAAACTCAGAACAGGAGTTTGACTTTTTGCTTGTTCCTTATTCATGGTGTGTAAACAGACGGGTTTATAAAGGACAGTATACAACAAACCATAATCGTGAATCCTCTAAAATATGATGTTTCAATATACGAATTTTAACTTCCACAGCTGAAAAAGGTTCACAGCTACTATTATCCACCTCTGACGAACTGTAAAACTTTGTGATTCCTTCAGCTCGAGGTTCAACCTGCAGGTCCTTGAGCCTCGATCAATCCTACATGTGTCATATGATCTGCGGGCGTAATATTGATCTACTTTCATCATTCTGCAAACATTTATCATCGTCTCTTTTCTTTTTAGGTTTGCATTGCTCAAGTATACGCTCTTTCTTCCCCTTTCCCCCTCCCTTTCCTTCTCGCAGCGACCTCTCCAGCAACTACCTTGCCAGCCCCGTTTTTCTGCCCCCCATCAGCACCCTGCGTCTCTCGAACAATTTTCTCTACGGTCCTCTGCCTGACGGGGCATGCCAGGCTCGCAATTTTGATGGCAACTGCTTCACACTGTCTTCTGGCTGCGCTGAGGTGGTGCAGCGACAGGAAGCAGCATGCAATGCATTCTGTGGCGTCTCCTCTGCAGCTGCAGCTTCTCCCTGTGGTGGAAGAGGGGTGTGCGTTCCAGACGAGGTTACCCTGGCCCCAGCCTGTTTGTGCGATGCGGGGTTCATCCAATCTGGAAGGCTCACCTGCGTGGCTGAATGTATGGTATGGAGCTCCCTGGGTCCGGTGCACACAGAAGTGGGGCATATGCAGAAGGGGTGGTACTTGGCATGGACACTCTTTCTACAATGGATGTGAATTCATGCGCCCTGCGGTGGCCTAAGTTGCAGAAGACGCGTCTAGCATCTTAGACGCTGGGATAGACGCATACCCGGGCAGGCCAAAAAAACGTCCGGGCAGCAAAATAACCCTCTTATAGGGCATGGGGAGGGCGGGAAGAAGGACATTGCACACATTTTGGCAAAAAGGGTTGAGGGTTTTTCAAGGAGAATTGAGTTAGCTTAGGCTTGAGCAAGAGGCGAACACGAACATCATCACAAAAACCCTATGCCAAGTTTGGACGAATTTTGATTTCGATTGTCTTCGCGTAAAAAATTCCGGAGCCAATTTCGACCGACGGTTGGAGTCATTTGATAGGAGCTCCGAGACACTTCTCGCGACAAGGTTTGGTGCGGTTCAAGTTCCAATTTGGCACGCGAGCTTTTCCGGATGACTTTCGGGCGCAATCCGTTTTGTTGCAAATTCGTGACCAAATTATTCAAAACTAAATTCTGAATTTGTTCATTTTGGAAATTGATGATTTCAAAATTGCATTTATTATTGCGGTTTACAAGAACCATTATTCAGCATTCTAGCAACAAGCAGTCTTAGCACCAGGTCAAGTAGCCTACGCACTGGCGGGCCTTGAAAGTGCCCGGTGGGCAAGGACGACATCTCCAAGGTCGCCGTCGTCGATGAAGAACTTGTTTGGAAAGACGAACGCACCCACAGCCGGATCGTGGGGGATCCTCCGCTCCACGACAGCAAAATGTATCATCTGTTTGACCTTTTCGCACCACTCCTGGTAGTCTGGCCTGTTCTGCTCCGGCTGGCTACTGATTCGCTTGCGACGCTTATCCTGCAGAAGGGGCCACTCGATCTGCAATGTGGTGTAGGGTTGGGTGGATGGTTTATGAGGAGGGTAGGTTACGGGTAAATGAGGCAACTGAAAGCGGTGATGCAGTCGTCACTATCTACGTAACTGCAAAGGCCTAATCGACCAGGGTTTTAGCTGAAGTACAGGCAAGGGGTTAAGGGGATGAGGCATGGGGGTACAAACACATATCTACATCCTTACCGAAAACAGGCCCCATGCCACCATGCGGCTCTTGAACTTGGTGAACACCGCCCCGCCCCTCTTGAAGGAGAGCTTGAACGCATAAGCGAACAAGGGGTTGCTGAAGGGTGTCCCGGTGGCCTTGTCAAAGTGCCAGTTGAGGGCCCACTGTTCTGCTTTTTGGCAGGGAGGGTATGGGTTCGAAAGGGTTTTGTAGAGAGATCAAATGGGGGGATGAGAGTCAGGGTGAGCCACATCGCACGGTCATATGTAGCTGCCAACTGGCATATGGTAGGGCATATTGTGTTTTCGAGCTGCACTGCACATACCATCTCTGTACTCGGCTACGAGTTGATCGTCGTCGAACCAGGTCGTTGGGTGTAGCTCAGTGGGCAGGCTATCCACGAGATGGCTGTAATCGGCAAGGCCCATGCCGGTGTATGCTGCTGGCCTGAGGGTGGAGTTGATAGTTGACCTTGTTGAGGACAGCTTGTGGTTGAAGACTCCCATGGTTGACTTGTCATTGTGCAACCACAGCAGCTTCATTGCCTCGAGCCCTTCTGCAGACAAGTGGACAGAGAACGCTTCGAACACTTCCTCCGGTGCAGGGTAGTACTGTATTTTCTCCGGCGGGTTCAGAAACATGTGCTGAGAGCACACTAAGTAGGCTTTGTTCTGCGCAGGGGTGTAAGGTATACAAGACGACATGGGAGAGAGAAACCAGCAGTTATGAGGGTGGCCGCGTGACCATGGGATGGACTAGCAGCACTGTGTGAACTTGCCACGTCACACCCTGCGCCATCCGACACGTCCACCAACAACCCAGCCCACTTGCCACGTCACACCCCCCTACCACAAGCCACGTCACCCCCCACCCACCTGACATGCCTCGCTTCGTCATGCGCAGTGGTCAGGTGTACCATTTCTAACTGCCACGTCAGACCCAACCCTCACCTTCCGCCACGTCACACCCTCCTTGTCCGCCACGTCCACCAACCAGCCCCACGTGCCACGTCATACCCTCCTGCATCCGCCACGTCCACCAACAACCAGCCCCACGTGCCACGTCACACCCACCCACCCCATGCCACGTCACCCCCCACCCACCTGACACGCGTCGCCTCGTCAGTGGCCGCTCCTGTGTACCATTCCAAACCTCCAAGTCATCCCCAACCCTCACATGCCGCCACATCACACCCTTTTGCATCCGCCAACAACCTGCCCTACTTGCCACGTCAACTAGCCAGCAACAGCGACGTCACCCCCCACCCACCTGAGACGCCTCGCTTCGTCATGCGCCGCTGACGTGTACCATTTTAGGGTGCCACGTCATCCCCAACCCTCACCTTCCGCCACGTCACACCAACCTGTATCCGCCACGTCAGCCCCAACCCTCACATTCTGCCACGTCACACCCTTTTGTATCTGCCAACAACCCGCCCTACTTGCCACGTCACACCCCCCACCAAGAGCCACGTCACCCCCCACCCACTTGAAACGCCTCGCGCCGTCATGCGGCACTCCCTTGCACCCTTTCACACCGCCACGTCATATCCCAGCCCTCACCTTTTGCCACGTCACACCCAACCCGCATCCGCCACGTCCACCAACATGCCGCGCCACTTGCCACGTCACACCCACCCACCCCATGCCACGTCACCCCCCACTCACCTGATACGCGTCGCCTCGTCACGCGCCGCTCCCGTGTTCCCTTCGAAACCGCCACGTCAGCCCCAACCCCGCCCTTGTTGCCACGTCAACCCCAACCCGCCCCATGTGGCCCGCCACATACCGGGAATGGGTTTGTCTCCTGCAACACTAGCACTCGTGCCTTGTCCACGGCACTCATCGGCGGCGGGGTACCAGCCATAGGCAGGGCTGCCGACCCGCTGGCATAGCTGGAAGGTACTCCACGACGCAGGCCGAGCTGTGCAAACATGGCGTACATCTCAGACCGCAGCGCCTGGAACTCCTCCCGTGTAACAAACTGCTCGTGCTCCGCACTTTCACCTAGGGCACCCATGTGCGGAGGAAAAGGGTGTGAAGAAACCCCCCTCTGGCCAAGGGGGTCAACGTCTTCTGCAGCAGTCCCGTGTGCCCTCACACTATCACGCTGGCGAGAAAAGGGGAGCTCAGGGAAGGGATTGGCACGACTGCCTGCCTGATGCCCGCGCGAAGGATCGGCGAGAGGGGAGACCGCCCTGCCCCGGACAGGAGAAGCGTGGAGTTGCCGAAATTGGTATGAGGGTGAGGCGAGTGGGGACTGCGTGATGGGGGCGGGTGGAGGGGATTCGGATTCTAGTCCTCTTGGCGCGTCTGGTGCCGTCGCAGCGACTTTGCTCGGGCCAGCCCATGGCGTGTAGTACCTTGGTGCTCCGGAGGAGAGCGGTGTAACACTCGCTCTTCCGGCAGCCTTCGTTAGATGCATTCGTTGCACGCTTACGGGCGGCCTAATGCCTGTAACGCGAGGGGCTGAGATGTAGAGGGAGCCGGAAAAAAAATTTAGAGTAGATCGGTTTCAAGGCGGGGCCAGACATGCATGCATATTCTGAAAGGTTTGAATCTAGATCGGGTTCAGGGTTGTACTGGTTTGGGACAAGAGGGTTTACCTTGCTTGGCAGATTCGTCGACCTTCTCCTTCCCTGCATGGGAGAAACAATGTGAAAAAAGGGTGTTTTTTGGCACGGTTTAGCAGATGGTTCAACACGTCACGCCAGTTTTATTGGACACAATGCTCACCTTTCTGCTGTCCCTTCGGTTTTGGGGCAGCCTGCGCCTTCTCGTTGCCACCTTTCCGCGGGGTGCTTTGGCGGACGCTGCGACGTTTACCGGCAGGTTCTTTCTTGCTGGTACCCTTTGGAACCCCTTTGGCGCGGCCAACCTTTCCTCCTCCATCCCCTTTTGCTCCCTGGCTCCCTTGCTTTTTACCAACCCCTTCACTTTTGACCTTCACCTTACGCGCCTTCGGTTTGCCTGCTGCTTCGCCGCGCGCAGCGTCAACTGCCCCGCGCTTTCGGGAAGGGCGAGTCCGGCCCTCCTCCTTCCCTCTACCACTCACCTGTCTGCCACGCCCGCCCCGTCCCTTCACTGGCGCCACATCCTCCTCCTCCTCCTCCTCCTCCTCCTCCTCCTCCTCCTCCTCCTCCTCCTCCTCCTCCTCCTCCTCCTCCTCCTCCTCCTCCTCCTCTGCTGCCTCCTCCTCCTCCTCCTCCACATCCTCCTCCTCGTCGTCACCCTGCTCCTCCTCCTCCTCCTCCTCCTCCTCCTCCTCCTCATCCTCCTTCTCCTCCTCCTCTGCCTCCTCCTCCTCCTCCTCCTCCTCCTCCTCCTCCTCCTCCTCCTCCTCTTCCTCCTCCTCCTCCTCCTCCTCCTCCTCCTCCTCATCCTCCTCCTCCTCCTCCTCTTCGTCCTCCCCGCCATCATTCTCATCTTTTTCATCCTCCCCAACATCCGCGTCATCCTCCTCCGCTTCCTCTGCCACCTCCTCTCCCTCCGCATCCTCCTCTTCATCCTCCTCCTCCTCCGCATCACCGGGGTCTTCATCGCCCCGTTTCGGCTTTGTTCCCATCGCTGCTTTCTTGCCTCTCCTTCCGCCGGATGCTTTTCTTGCTGCGGGTCGGCCCTTCTGGCGCAATGCTTGACTGCCCGCCTTGCCACTAGCTTCCTTGGCGCCTCGTGGTGTCCCAACTGCCGCGCCTCCGGCGTCGTCAGCACTACCTGTCGTCTACCGCCTTTTCGCCCGCGTAATGAGGTCCCCGGGCACGGCGGTGTCATATTCGTCCTCCCCATCGCTCTTCCTCTGCCTACGCCTCCCCCGTCCACCAGAAGGTGGAGAGCCACCGACCAGCCCCACCGACTCGAGCTCCCCCACCTTGTCCTTATCCAGCACGGCTGCAGAAACTTCGACCACGGTCGGCTGGAGCAACGTCAGATGGTGTTGCGTTGCCGCCGCCTCGCACTCCTTGGTTGCGGCATGCTCGGCGCGGGGATCGCCTCCGTGATTGCCCTCCATCGCCGATCCCTCCATCTCCGCCGACGGGACTGCAAGACTTGCGCTCCCTCGCCCCGGATCTTCGTTGCCACCACTGGTGCCCTCGTTAGTCGGACCGGGCTCGGTTCCAGCAGAGGCATGATTCGCCTCTTTGTTCACTGTAGAAACACGGTTCCGTGCCGTTGGTTGCTTCCCGTTGTCTCCCGCCTTCATGCCGGACTTCTTTTGACCGCGGGCGACCTTCTTTGCCACCACTTTTTTCATCCCCTTGCCACGCGCGACGGATGCATTAGTTTTTTTGGTGCCGGCGCCACCCTCCCTATCGTTCCGCTTCGACATCGTCCTTGTCGCACGGCGTCCAGCCTGTTCCTCCTCCATTGCTTGTAGACGTGTTGCACGTGTCATGGTAATTGTGGGAGGAGCAAAGTTGCAAATCGCGCGGAAGGGTTGAGCCGGTTTCGAAAGGGTTCTGCAACTGAATCCCACGATGGGATTATCGACGGTCTATCACTGTTATGTGTTTCCGAAAGCCGCCGCTTCAACTAAAACTGTCATAGTAGCCACTATGCTTCGCGCTAAGGCCGATCTGGAGAGGCGTGTGTCAAGGCAACGAGCAGCGTCAAAGTGTTGGCCCAGGGAGTGACGGAAGCAGGTGGGTGGGGCACGAGGGTGGTTGGGGTGGGTTGCGAGACTAGAGAGAGTCATGTAACCCTATCAGGCTATATTGGACGGTGTACGTGTAGCCACCCTAGCATAATCCCACATTCCGCTCGATCTCAGCCGCTCAATGGCTGAAGTACCTCTTGGCTGATGACTGTGTTGCGGGGGGAATCGTTTGAGATGCGTCGACCAATCATGGTTGCCAACGCATCAATCACTACAAAGGGTAAAACCGGTGTGAAACCTACAATGCGAAAGTACAGTGTTTTCGAGACCGCACAGTGTTACACGTAGAAGCTAAATTCTATTCAAACATACAACAATGCATTTCAACAAACTCTAAGTTGCAAATGGTTTACTACGGGGTTGGGGTAAGTTAATCGGTGATTCTTACGTCACACACACAACGACCGTCCAGAATTATTACTTGTGACAGATGTACTGTGCACTTTTAGGCTTTGCCACGATGCTTTAGGGCCAGCAGACGACATTCTAACACGATTATCAATAGTAAAAACGTGACTACGTTGTGGTATGGTGTTGCATTGGCATCCATTCTTGCACAGACATTGAACAGGGTGCTTGGAAGGAGTGGTATGAAGCACAGGCCCAACGCACAAGCGTAGATGCGTTATCGACAGCCATGGTTAGACTGTGCGACGATGCAGCGTTCAGGCCTGCGGGTTGCGCGACATGGTGAATCCGTTGTGGTATGGTGTTGCATTGGCATCCATTCTTGCACAGACATTGAACAGGGTGCTTGGAAGGAGTGGTATGAAGCACAGGCCCAACGCACAAGCGTAGATGCGTTATCGACAGCCATGGTTAGACTGTGCGACGATGCAGCGTTCAGGCCTGCGGGTTGCGCGACATGGTGAATCCGTTGTGGTATGGTGTTGCATTGGCATCCAACATTGCGTGGACATTGAAACCGTTGTGCTATTGTACGACATTGTCATCCATTCTTGCATATTCATACAGCACGGTGCGTAGAGGTACACTACACCTCGAGAGTCACGCTATAGGTATTCGCTCCACGCAACAATCATACGTTAGGGCATGGAGTTATTGGGTACTTCCCGTATCGTTATCAAGTAAGGGTTGTTCAACATCAGTCCGGAGGACACGAATGTTTACTAGTTATGAATGACTTGAGTGTCTTTAAGTTGTAATTGTACATTTGCATTTCCATGTTTGTTTGAAGCCTCTTGAGCTCACCTACGTGATGCCGATTTACCCCCTATATCGAATTCGCGACACAATCACAGATCCAAACGGATCTCTTCCCGCTCTTCCAAAATCCCCCTCGACTCTCACGCACGGGTCATAAACACAAGTTCTTGACTCAATAGGCACGTCCTTCTCACCGTGCTCGCGATGCATTTACACGACCGTGAGACTTAAGATCCAGTGCATTCTCCTCTGCTCACGTCGTGGTCACTCTAGACGGGGGCGACACGCCTTGTAGGGAAGATGGCCCGGCGGTCTGTATCATGCCTGGTAACGAGCACGCGGCTCGACATCGTTAGCCAGTCATAAACATTAGCGCCAACGTCAAGTGCCAGTCGTGCAGTGATACAAGCCGCCCACCACAGTGCGCGCATTGGCGATGATCGTGTAGCTGTCACAGGCTTCTTGAACGGAGTACTTAATGCGTTCACAAGCTTCATCATGGCTAGTAGCTTCTTAAGCGATTTCTTGACTCTAAAACGGATCCGTAACACATGGGCTCTTTACCAGGCGTCGTCTGCGAGTTCTGCAACAGATGGTTCCCCAACGCCCAAGTTTATGGCGGTCATAAGTCACGGCGGACCTCTTGCCAAGGACTATCCGCCGTGGTAAGGCCCACGCGATCTGCACCGACCGCCGGTCTACACGCTCTGCTATTCGTCCACGACATTCTGTCGGACGCTCCAGCCGCTCCCGGTTCACCTACAGCGTCTAACGCATCCAACGCCGTCAGTGAGAGCGGTCCTCCACGCGTGCCTGAAGCTGACGTTGACGAAACTCCCAACGACGTGAACGAGGGGCCTCCTGAAGATGAACATCAACCACAACCAGGAGCTCCCGCGGCTGACACGAGTGACCATCCTGAGAGCCGGCCCGAAGGGAGTCATGCCGCGCCGCCATCAATCATCTCCGGACAGAGCAATGCCACGCCCCTCAATCCGCTCGCGTTGAAGCTGCTGCATTTCGTTCGGCGCGTGAATGGCGGAATGGGAATGGCCGAGGTTGACATCAACGGCCTGCTTCAGCTAGTCGTAGAGCCCGGCCTTGCGCCTCTTGTGATCTCGGAGCTCCGGAACTGCAAGGATCTGGAGCGGTTCGAGATGGAGCGCTTGGCAGGGCTCAATCGTGGATGGTCGGTGGCGACCTTCGAGATTGACGGTCATCCACCACAGCGCTTGCTCTTTCAAAACTCAGCCCAGGTAAGCCGCCTTTGCATTCAAGGCCGTGAAATGATGATGAGGCACACTGGGTTTGCATGTACGTAGTTATCCTTGTATTAACCGTACACCCACCTTCACCGCCACTAACCATGCCTCTCCTCTCACCTGCCTTCGCCACCGTACACCAGGCATTCGCTGAAATGTTTGGACATCCCAACAACGCGCCCGGCTTCAAGTTCAAGGCGCGTGTTGATGAGGACCCTGACGCAGGCGGCCGTTGCTATACCACGCCTGAAACAGGAACGTGGTGGAATGATGCTCAGGTAAGGAAAGACCACGTTGCCACCCCAAACCCAATCCTTCCTCATGCCCCGGTCGCTGCACTGATCTGTCAAGAGCATCTTGAGTGTTAAACTGTGTGTCCGTTGCCGCTTTGTCGTGCACTGCAGGAACACTTCGGTTGGTCCGAAGTTGTGGGGGGGATCATCTTATATTCCGATGTGACGCACATGAGCAACAACGGCCGGAAGAAGGCGTGGCCGCTCATGATGACGCTGGCCAACATCTCCCAGGCCAAGCGATGGGGGAAAGCCGGGCACACACTACTTGCCCTCCTTCCTATCCCCCCGTCTGCAATGTCTGCCGTGGAGAAGGTGATGCTCTTCCAGCGATGCGTCATCACCGTGCTGCAGCCGCTTCTTGATGGCATCGCCAGGTCCGTACTCGGTTTGCATCTTCCTAACACATCATCTCACCACCTGCATGGTACGCAAACCCTCTCTGTATGTAGCATGGCCCTTTGCCCCTCGTCGTTCCTCCCTGAAAGCCGTAGCCCGAATTCCTGTTGCCACTCTACCTGTTCCTTGCAGCGGGTTCCGTCTCAGGGACCCTTTCGGTGATTGGCAAACCGTGCGCCCCCTGCTGTACGCCTGGGTGTGCGACTACCCCGAGAGCGGCAAGATCAGTTGCACACTCTCGCATGGATCGCGGATGCCGTGCAGCATCTGCTATGCTGCAAAGGTGAGGTCACATGCCATCTGCACGCATTCAAATACATTCTCGTTTGTGGGTCGCCTGATAGAACCCACATAGCTACCACCCTTACCTTTTCTATCCCATCCTAAACCCCCGTGCTACAACAGGAGCATCTGAGTGCGGTCAAGGCACGGAACACGCCGCGCACGCCTGAACAGCAGCAATGGATCGTTAACGAGGCGGCTGGGACGACAACTAGCCAGGACAACCCGTGCAAGGCCTACTCTACCTACCCTGTTGAGGTGAGCGACCTGTTTCCCCGGCCCATGAGTAGTCTATGCTCTCGCCCGCCGCGTCATGAATTGCCAAATGTGCTCTGCCCAATTGAACTCACCCCACTTGTGGGTGAGGTTAGCTATCCACTCTCACGTACATCTCTCCTAAATTCCTCACCACATCCCCATTTCCAGTGCGTGCTCTGGAAGTGGGATGTCCCAGGGACCGCGTGGGGCAATCCCTACCTCGTGGTCATGCCTGACATCATGCACCAGGCGGACCTGGGCATCATGAGCCACATTGTGGCTGTCGTGCGCAAGATGAAGAAGCGGCGTGTGAAGCAGATGGACAGGTCAGTGTTTTGGGGATTGGATTCGTTGCTCTTAGTCACTGGAACTCAAACCATAAGTTCTGTCCTATTACTGACATGTTTTCTGCCCTTTTGCCACCGCTGAACTGATGTGTATGGGCAGGCGCCTGTCTTTCATTCGCGACCGCACGCGCCTGAATCACATGCGCCTGCCGGAGAGCGCCTATTTCGAGACCGGAGCATGTGTCGCGGCCTATGAGCACAGGGCCGTCATGCAGGTATGAACCCTCCATTCCCTGTTGCTTGTCCTGGCCTAAACCCTCAAGCAGTCTGCGAGTGCTGCCATTGTTTGTCCCAACTCCTCACACCATCTGTGCTCACCCTCCCCTTTGCTGCTATCCACATTCTTTGCAGGTCATGGTGTTTGTCTTTGCTGGCCTGCTTCGCCAGCCCCAGATGGATGCCGTTCGTGCCTATCTTGGCTGGTACATCCTGTGCTCCCAGCCTCAGGGGCACACTGAGCGGTCCCTCCGGGAGCTGAAGAAGATGACCTCTCGGTAATAATACCATGCATGTAAACCCCCGTGCATGGGATGAATGCTTGGCTACTGTAAATGTGCTCTCGTAGTAGGCAATATTGTGAGGATGTTTGGTGCTAAACTTTGATAGGAAAGGATCAGGAAAAGGAAAACGATATGAATAAGTAGACTCTGTGATTGCATGTGTTGTCATCTCCCACTCCCATCAGGCTCGTTGAGCACTTGCAGGCTGCGTTTCCAAAGCAGCCATCCTCTTGGTGCCTTGTGAAAACACATCTCATGTCGCACTACGTCGACTCCATACGTCGCGCGGGTCATGTGACTGAATTCAGCACCAACATGTTCGAGCACTTGCACGGACCGTTGGTAAAGAGGATCTACCGTCGGTCCAACAAGCGCAATGTAGATGGGCAGATCATGAAGTTCCATGCTAGGCGCATTCCGGATGTGGTGCCGGTGGATGATCCTGCTGGCCGGGACACCGCCATGCGGCAGGTAAATCTGTTTAGTGCTTGAATTGCATGGATATGAACTCATAATGTAATAATATCAATAGCATATGTTGGCAGGCGATTGAGACCGACACACGGACGCTCATCAAGGAGTCATACCTCCTCCCTGTGGAGTTACCACAATAACCCACCTCCACCAACTGGTTTGCAAGGAAGTGGGCCAAGCAACACCCTCGTGCCCAAGCAGCCCTCAAGGATGCGCTTATGCGTTATGCAGGATGCGTCACCAAGATTCGAGTAAGTAGTTGCAAGTGTATGCAATCAACCATCATTTGGCTGGCTCGTATCATACATGACTAACATCAACTGTTATGCAGGCCCATGCATCGCTGGCAATCCCTGCAGCAGACGACGCCAGCTTCTCAAGAGTTTCTCACTTCGTTCGAGCGACCCCTGACTATTTTGAGAGGCCATGGTACTCGGATGTTGCAGTGGAGGGTGTAAGGTATGGTCGGAGAGAGGAGTGGTATGCAAGGTTGCTTCTGTTGTTCCATACAAAAATACGTGGAGAGAGGGAGGAGCTGGCTTACGTTAGATATTGGAATGCAAGCGGAGAGGATACAGCAACAGGATGCCTTCGCCTCAAGTGGACAACAGGAATGTACGCGTACTCCGTGATTCCGATTGAAGCGCTGCTCCGCCACGTCCATGTGGTGAAGGCTTTCCACCTGAACAGTACCTATCTCCTTAATAAGTATCAAATGTGATGCATTTATCTTGTAATAAAATGGCCAGCATATTTTTAAGCAGACACATTTTAGGGAAGTCAAAGCTTAAAAAACCAATTACAAAATCACAACAAATTTGGCACGCTTCAAATAAACGGCAGTGTACCGGAGTCGCGGATTCGATTTCGACTTCGACAAACAAACGCGTTCCGATTTCATTCCGCGATTGGTCGCGATAAGGCTTCGGAACTTCGCCAACCAAAACACCTGAAATGTACACCCCTTCGAACCCCCTTCAAAAACCAAGGTTTTTTGTGATGATGTTCGTGTTCGCCAAGACGAACATGTGACCCTGGCCGAACTGAACAGTGTTCGGTTCGCCGCAAACATTTCTGAGAAAATGGTGTTCGCCTGTTCGCCTCTAGGGGCGAACACCCCTATGTTCGCCCCGAGCACGAACATGTTCTTGGCGAACATGTTCATGCTCGATTTTTCAACAGCCGTAGGATGGGTGACATGGGCTTCTAGTTATGGCATGGGTGTCGGTTTCAACAAGCGGAGATGCTATGGTGCGTGAAGTTTAGTTTTTTCGCTGGCCATGAACACAAGGCAAACACGAACATGTTCGTGTTCAGCGCGGCTTGTCTAGCCGTGGCGAACCGGACACCGAACATGTTCGCCCCGAAAACTTCCGGCCAAAAAAGAGAAAGTGTTCGCTTCGCCTCGAACATGTTCGAGGCGAACCGAACAGGTGATGGCCCTTGTGCTCATGCCTAAGTTAGCGTGTAAACCCCATGGGCTTCTTAAGGATAATTGATTTAAACTAGATATGAGGAGCACAGATGAGGTGGTTGTGTTGTGCTCCTATATGCCTTTGGTGGTGGTCCACAAAGAGCTTTGAGGTTGCAATTTAGGCTGGGGGGTAACAAAAGTTGGTTGGGGGGGGGCTGTTTTTCATGGTCCAAATGGGTGGGACCAGGTAGAAAAAAATTTATTGTCGAAAAATACGATTTGTTTTTCGATGTTTTGTTACGATACCTTTTGGGAAAAAAAAGGTGGTTTTTTATAAGACAAAAAAAACTCATCAACTAAAAAAATGCTGTTCTGAGCACAAAAACACTTCTAACAATCTTCTAGTGCATCATCAGCACTTCCAACAGCCCCCTTGTTCTACTCACCAATCAATCCCCTTGTTTTAGCAGCAGTTTGGTCTTTTTTCTGGAAAAAACGATGGTTTTTTTGCGGCAAAAATATTTTGTTTTCCAGAAACCTTTTTTTTAATCGTTTTTTACGATACGGTATTTTACGGTCAAATTAAAAAAAAGGGGGAAAAACTTAAAAAAAAAAACGCATTGTTTTTTTGCACCCACCGTGGGAGGGGGTTCGAATGTCGCGAAATTGAATTTCGCGTCAAAATCGTGTAATTCAATTTCGCGCGTGCGATTTTGTTTTTTCAGGCTGCCGAAAAAAATTCCCCCATGCATCTAGCGTCTTCGTGAGCGTCCAGCGTCCTGCGTCCAGACGCTGCGGCTGGACGCAGGACGCAGGATGCTGCGGGTGCCTCCTGCAACTTAGGCGGTGGCCCCACATTCCACCCTTGTGGTGGTATTGCTCTCGTGAGGCCTCAATTCATCATCATCTGCCATCACCAGAAATTCTCGCATTTCATTTCACCCATAATATTTCTCCTTGTATGCTCTGCATGTTTGCAGGCACCACCAACAGTACCTCGGGCAGCACCAACAGTACCTCGGGCAGCACCAACAGTACCTCGGGCAGCACTACTAACACTACCTCTGGCAGCACCAACAGTACCTCGGGCAGCACCAACAGTACCTCGGGCAGCACCAACAGTACCTCGGGCAGCACCAACAGTACCTCGGGCAGCACCAACAGTACATCTGGCAGCACCAACAGTACCTCGGGCAGCACCAACAGTACCTCGGGCAGCACCAACAGTACCTCGGGCAGCACCAACAGTACCTCGGGCAGCACCAACAGTACCTCGGGCAGCACCAACAGTACCTCGGGCAGCACCAACAGTACCGCGGGCAGCACCAACAGTACCTTTGTCAACCAGCCGATTCTCCCGCCAACAACCATGCTCACCAAGGGGATGCAGAAGGAAACAGGGGGGATTTTCACTGCGGCTCCAGTGCCTCTGTTTGTGTACGGGGCAGGGCAGGAGGTGGCGGGGTGTGGAGTGCAGCTCGCCTTCCAGGCCAACTTTACCTTCTCCCTCTCCCCTCAATCCGGCCGTGTTGGCAACAATGGCTTCGCCTTTGTCGTCTCGGCAACGGACCGGGTGGGGAGTGGATCTAGAGTGGGGTATGGTGGCATGGACAGCCGGAGCATGGCAGTTGAATTCGACACCACACAGGACAAGAAGCACGGCGATATGAGCACCCCGCATGTGGGGCTGAACATTCAAGGCCAGGACCAGTCAATAGCCGCTGTGAAGTCGCCGTTTGAGCTGAGCAACAGAAAGGCGTACACAGCGTGGGTGGACTATGAGCCTGGGGAGCCCGGCACCATCCAGGTGTTCCTGGCTGCCACGGAGGTGAAGCCAGTGCAGCCGCTGCTGGAGAGGAGGCTGGCGCTGTGTGAGGTGCTGCAGGCTGGAGCAGAGCAGCGGGCGTTCTTCTTTGGCTTCGTGGCGTCCACCACTGTGAAGCCCTTCCAGATGCATCTTATCCTCAAATCGGCAGTTCACACTGGTGAGGGCAGGTCCAATGCAATGGTGGTTGGGATGATGCTGATGGTGATCAGATCATGACAGTGGTGCTAATGGTGTTGGTGAGCAGGAAGATGAACTGGTTGTATGCTCCTTCTTACTGTACTTTGATTCAGAAGAACGAGCTGTGGCTGCCATGCCTGTGTGCTTTCTGCAGGCCTTCCAGCTCCACGCAAGCCGGTAGACATCATTCCAGGTAAACAGCCCCTTCCGTTGTTTCGTTCCTTCCAGTTGCTTAAGCGTTTTTCTTCAGGATTTGCAGCTATTCCGATATGATTTTGGATCCAGGTAAACAGCCCCTTCCCAGGAAGACATTCCTTGGAAATAATCATCCTTCTCGTCACCTCCCTGCATGGGTGTCATTTGGCTTCTTTCTCCAGCACTCCCTGGTCCTGGTGCTTTCGTTGTGCAGCTCTCTCTCCCTCTCTCTCTCTCTCTCTCTCTCTCTCTCTCTCTCTCTCTCTCTCTCTCTCTCTCTCTCTCTCTCTCTCTCTCTCTCTCTCTCTCTCTCTCTCTCTCTGCCTTGCCCCTTTTTTCAGCGATTTGAAAAGAACACATGCACACATGTGCAAGCACCCACATGCCTCCCCATCTCCCCTCGTTTTCCCTGCCCAGCCTTTGGTCTAACTCTCTCCGTGGAGTCGTATGCACCTGTGGGAGCCAGTCCCTTCATGCGCTACATGAGTGTGGACTACCAGGTGTCGGCCAACCAGCAGAGTGCATGGCAAGTCAGCGCCTCCCACTCCTGGGACTCCATGCCCTTCCTCGGCTGGCCGGTCAAGAACCAGAATGACTGCAGTGAGTGGGCATGAGGAAGGTTTGGAGTATAGAGAACAGTTTTTTTTGTGGTACTTTGTACCCCCTGGCACTCTTTCTTTACCTGTGATGCGCATTGGATTGGCATCTGCGGCGCTTTATTCAGTTAGCCCCTGCCTTGCATCTCCCTTAAACACTGCCCCGTTCAGGTGCGAGTTGGGCGTATGCGGTGGTGGCGAGTTTGGAGGCAGCATATGGCATTGCGCTGAGTAGTGAGGCGCCACGGCTGTCAGTGGACTCGCTCTTTGCAGCCATGGGGCTCACCTCTCTCACTGCCAAGTGCATGGCAGGCGGCTCTCCTGCCGCGGCCTTTGAAAAGCTTCTCACTCTGCCCTCTGGTGGACTCACAACCGACAGCAAGCCGGTAGGAGAGAGCTTTGAGCACGAGACCAATGTAAGGCGGCAAGTGTGTGCCAGCAATATTGAGCGACCATACAAAGCATAACGTAGAGAGCAGCTGCATTAGATGCAAACAGACATGCGTACAGTGCCTCTGAGACTAGAAGCCATCTAGTACACCAGGTTCCCCATTTCAGGGACAAGATTCTAGGAGTTCAATTTTGGCCAACAAGATTGCAGTTGACTGTACCTTTTTCTCTTCCTCTTCTGCTTCCCCAGCCCTCACCCTAAAGCTACGTGCTGTTTCGAAGTTGTTGATTTCTCTCCCGTTCACTTGTGTGTGTTCTGATTCACAGATATCAAAATACCCTATTCAGGGATTTGAGCGCACGCGGTTCAAGGGGTATGTGGGGCTCATGCTGGCAGTGCAGCGGCAGCCAGTGGTGGTTCACATTGAAGCATCTGCTGCCACATTTGTACAATATGATGGGGTGAGAACTGATTTTCTGAGCATGCAGTCATGCGCCCATGTTTTGCAATCATCCTTGTCAGCATAGAAGACTCCTTGTCAGGTGTTTACTCCTTCACATTGGAAAAGATGCCATATGTAACGCATGTCTTATGTGACAGTGTTTACCTTCTCTGTGTCACTGTCTCTCCTTCTGTTGTGCAGACCTTCAAGTACCAGGATCCTGACTGCTACACTGGCAACCTGGACCATGCTGTACTCGTTGTTGGGTACCTCCTTTTCACAAACAATGGCCGCCAAAGCACCACTTCTCCACCGTTCTGGATCATTCGCAACTCGTGGGGAGTGGAGTGGGGCGACAGGGGCCACATGCGCATGGACATTCAGGGAGGGGATGGCGTGTGTGGCATCAACGTGCTGCCTGGCATCTACCCCATTGTCAAGAGTGAGGCATCTGAAATATCATGTATACTTTCTGAATTTACTCAGCGGGCAGAGACACCTTACCACTTCTAAATTCAGCTCACTATTGTTCACACACGCAACCTTCCCTGTCCTCCCACTATTGTTCCCACAACCCTTCTAGTTCCCAAGGATCCGTGCGGTCAGAAGAGCTACAAGGGCAATGGGGATGTGCAGCCCAGCATGAACCCATGCGGTTGCTTCACATGCCAGCCGAACACAAAGACCAACAGAAACACCTGCAACTGCACCATACCGAATGAGACCAAGCAGCCTTTTGTTGAAGTTCCGAATGGGTCTGGCTCCAATACATGTGCATATGGTGAGTCGTGCTTATGCCCAAACATTTCTTCCTGAACCAGCTCTTCCCTTGCGGTACATGTGGAGATCCTCTGCAGTGCAAAAACGTTAAACTTTTCCATCATAGACATAATTCTGGTTCTTTAGTAAGTTTAAGATGTCCGCGACTGATGGCAGGGGCGCCTACTCCTGCATCTGCCTTTCCAAATGCTGGTTATCAGTGGTTCTCGTTTGAATGCTTAGGATCTAAACGCTGGTGTCCTCCATGCCCCTCCTTCACCCCCCCCTCCCCCTCCTCTCATTCCCCTTCCGTACCACCCCTCTCAAATCAAAAGTACAATTCCTCCCCTGCCGCGCATGTCGTCCCTGCTGCCAACTCAACAGTTGATGTGTGTGGTTCCTACTCTACCAACCCCTTTGCCGTCGGGACATGCATCAATGATGGCAAGGGCGCCTACTCCTGCATCTGCCCTCCCAACTACGTTGGCAGCATAACCGTTGACAACCTCCCCACCTGCGACCCAGGTGCTGCACGTTAACCTCACTCACGCATTGTCGATGTGAGGATGCCTCAGAATGCAGTTTCATAAGTTATTTTTTGACCGTCTAGATCCACAGTCTTCAGTACATTCCTTGTGTGATGCATGACATTCTGCTATGGTCTTCATTCCCTCCACACCTCCTCTTCTCACCTCCTTCCTCCTCTCCTTGCTCCAGCCAACACAACAGTCTCCATGTTGACAGTAACTGGCGCCAACTGGTGGTGCTCAGATATCTTCCCTGTGGCCGGCGTCTCCTTGGCTGGCTTCACGTCGCAAAACATGGTGAGAGGGCCAACGAGTAGGCCACGCTTGCATGGAAATTGCCAAGTGAGTGGTGGCAGATCGGTTTGTAGACTGGGTGGCCTTCGAAATTCCAGGCCTTTCCTGTAGCAAAGTGACGCCTCGGGACACATGTATCTACCACATGATTTTTCTCATCCATTATGCATGTGCTTCATTTGCAGGCCATTGCATGCAACCAGCCTTTGCCAAAGGGCAAGGTGATAACGTTGGGAGGCACTCCCACCACCTCCTGTACTGCATTCTTCTATGCCCTCAAAGTGAGCCTGGCCCTCAAAGTCTTTCGGGATCTCTGGCTTTTCTTGTTTCGTTACAACGACCCCCCCCCCCTCCCTCCTTCCCCTTCCCACCCTCCTCCCCCCCCAGCTCCCCCTCATCATCTTCCCCCCCCCCCCAACTCACTCTCTCTCCCATCTCTCCCTTATCCCCAACCTTCCCCCTATCTTTTGATATTGAATTCACCATCCGCAATGTATCTGGCCATTCAACGGCAGCTGAATGTGAACGTGTCATCTCTTGTCGTCTCTTACCCCTCCTCACTCCACCCTCCAGGGCGACACCTGCTCCTCTATCAGCGTCCAGCTGGGACTAGCATCGATGTACCTTGCCTCTCTCAATCCCGGGCTGGACTGCTCTGAGCCCATCAAGGCGGGCCGCTCTCTCTGCATCGAGCGCAACGCCACCTTCGCCTTCACCGTCCCTCGCTGCTTGCAGTACAGCATGCTCTCACCTCAGGACACGTACGAGAGCCTGCTGCTGCAGAGCATGAATTCAAGTGGGGATGGGTCCACAGAGGTTCAAGTGGTGACTGCAGCCAGCTGGACTGAGCTCTATCGCAACAATCCCGGCCTCATCTGCCCCCGCACTATCCCTGCCACAAGTGCCACTGTTGCCAGTGAGGCCAGCACACAGGTGAGGGGTGGAGGAGGATAACAAGTAGATGGAAAGGAATATGGAGGGTTTTTTGCTGTGAACCATATCCTGGTGATGGCATCCTTGATTTTAATTGTTCCCACTTTTGCTTATCTTCTATATGCCCCTTCTATCCCAGGTTTGCCTCAAGGCAGACTACGAGTCCATAGATACTTACACTTGCAAGATAGGCAGGCGTAAGGTGGTATCACCTTTGCTCACCTGCCCAGGTGCTTTCAGCTTCTTCGGTGGAGCTAAAACGGGACCAGCTGCAAGGTTCATTGAATACAATGGAAGGGCATGTTCAGAAAATGTAGGGCTTAATTGGCTCTGTGTACCATAATGACTCCTGGCGCTCGAAGGGGCCTTGAGCGTTTGCTATTGAGACACCTCTAGGGGTAGTTTTACTGTAACATGCTTTTTCGTAAACGTATTCTACCGTAATCACCCGTATAAACGTCCTAGGTTGCTCTGAAAAATATATCAAACCGTTGGGGTGGATGTTGGTGCATCAAAAATATAGCACCCGGGTGCTTATTGATAGACATATTCTTTTATGAGTGAACATTGGGAAAGATGTTGCAACTCTCTTTGGAGACGATATTGTGATTAGCGTGCGGGGCAAAACCGCATAATCACGTCCCTCGTTCCTGCGTGCCAACTTGGTGTCCCGTGCCATGCTTGTCACCCATTCCCCACTTCCTGCACTTCACATATGTCTCGCCGACAGCACATACAACAACACACGTGCCCCCTCCCCTCCTAGGCACACGCGTAGCAAAGTGCTGTAGCGAGCTCTCGGTTCCACCCGCGACGCGGACAAAATCTTGAAAAAAAAACTGTTGATCATTAGGAAAATCGCTGATCACGTGGTAAAGAAAAACTATCAACAGTGGGGGGGTGTTATAATGGTCTTGGGGAAAAGGGTGTGCTCTAAACGAACGCCTTTATACAGCACGCAGGTCCGCATTTGCCACCCGGGGGTGTTCTCGGGGGGTGGTACACCCTCTCGCTAGACTGGCATCGGATGTACTGACCAGGATGCTTTGTGTGACCGCAACGCACCCAAGGTCCCATCACATGCCGTATAGTGACATTTTGACCCAAGGCGGTTAGTAACAACTGCTGTTTGTTTGTTCAAAACCAGTTCGGAGCGACGTACTTGCTGCAACCGAGCATGGGCAACGATGCTCCATCCGAGGATGTCGGCCAATGCACAGAGACTTGGTCAGGAAATTTTTATGCCGCATCCTTCGCCTCAAGCGACTTTTTGCAAACACAAAGAATTAGTCAGTATTTGTTCAGTCATAATGATGGCACCATCTGTGATGATTCCTGAAATCATCTGCAGTTCAACACCGGCGCTCTTGAGATGCGTGAGCAACACTTTGAGAAGAGAGGAGTCACATTTTTCAACCGTTAAATGCCCAATAAACTATGTCACCACCTTCGCGTTCATCACAGAAGTGAGATAAACTATAAGATCTTCACTGTGCCGCCGATCGGTGTTCTCGTCCAGCTGATTTCCCACAAAGGGAGATTCTTGGATATGCCACATCTGACACGCCTTGAGGTGCTTCACCATCGCCCTAATCATCTCCAAAGTCCATACCTGGCAAATGAACACTACACAGCGATTTGTTGTTACAAAAGCACAAGTTTTGATACACACGTACAAAACACGTACTCATATTAATAGGTGCCAATCTCCTTGTCCGGAATGTAGGTTGCTCTTGCGGTCATGCAGCAAGTGTACAGGAGACACAAAATCTGAGCATTGGGTCATCTCCCCCTCCCCGTCTTCAAAAATCCTCACTTCCATGCTGAGCGAACCCCACACCATCAGCTATTGTTTTCGGGTCGAGGGCGTCCCGATGCTTTCGGCTCATACCATGCTTGCCAGTAGTACGGCCTGTATGTCATGCCAACAGTACACTTCATACAAGGCCGGCCATCCTTAAACTGGGAAATCACCAGCAATGGGAACCGCCAAATCCAGATGCTGTTGCACTTTGCTTGCAGCTCTGCGAGAAGACTAGCTGGATCAGGTACCAACACCGTCGGCGTGATAGGTCCTGGATCTGGAGACGGTGTAGTGCCATCAATAGCAGCAGGCTGCAGAGATGTTGAAGCTGTGGGCCAAGCTCTTGACTGCTAAGGCGTGTGTGAGGAACTCGAGTAGACGCAAATTGGAGGGTATTCTGTGTGTAGTGGCCTATTTTAGGAAATTCAGCTATGCCCGCACAACGGACTGCACTAACAGATGAGGTTGCAATATGGCCCGTGTTTGTTGTTGGAGTTTCTTGGAAAAGGGGGTCATTAAGCTATCATAATACTGAACGGGAATGAGATGCATTGAAAGAAAGATGGGTACAAGTACTAACCCTAAATTGGGTTGTACCCCTTATGGGCTACCCCACTACAGCCTACACAACCTAAGCATTATAGTTTGACACACCCCCATAGGCAGAGTGGGGGAGAACAAGTGGTCACAAGACCAGTCAAGAAAAGCAAAGCAAGCTCAGGGTGGATCACGAAGTCACCACACAGTCCGAGCACAAGCAAATGGCCACAAGGCCAGTTCACATGCAGAGTTATATAAAAGAGAACAAACAGTACAGTAATCACAACCTAGCAAGTGTAAGCATGCAGGCATAGAAATATATAGATCACAGTACAAGCAAAGTCACGTAGTGAGCAAGTGAGACAAAGCAGGCACAAGGCTAAAGTAGTACAGAAACGCTGATGATCACCAAGCTTAAGTGCCTTGGTGAATATATCAGCAGTGTTGGCCTGTGTGGCCACGTAAGCAAGACGAAGCTGACCACGCTGCTGCAACTCTCGAGCAAGGAAGTAACGCAGAGCGATGTGCTTCGTTCTGTGCTCTAGTCTGTGCTCCTGACACAAGGCAATCATGGCCTTGTCTACTTGGCCGCTCTCCCAAGTCGGTCAACAGGTAGGTGAGCCAGCGTAACTCATGTGCAGCCATGGCTCCTGCGT